ACGGTCCAGCAGTGTATGCATGCACGCGGGCTGCTAAATCCCGAGGGTGCCGATACCGGTCAATGTCAAATGCCTGTTTAGTCGCATCACTAGTATACTTCAAAGAACGCAACAGGGTTGTTGTAGATTCTAAACGTTTCTCGCCATAGCTGTAAAAATCTAAATATGTTATACTTAATATATCGTCCGTCGTTTGTTTTCTAACTAATTCGTTTTAGGATCAGGTGTAGTCTACGGAAATTTCCAAAATTTACAACTTTTCGGTCACTCTCATAAAACTGGAAAAATTCTGTCTTTATTACATCTAATACAGTATTTCGAAGAAATCAGTCTCCACTGTACTCGGCTAGAGATGGTTCGGTTAAGCTTTTGTTTAAGTAAAATTTCAGCTTTTTCGTCAGGGTTTTCCCTATTCCCTAATCGCTTAATTATTTAACTACTTCTTAAATAGAAATAAGTCGAAACCAGTTACTTTGTACTCGAATATTTGTAGTCTCGGGAAAAAAGTGGAAAGACAAATTTTTATGACAAACGGATATATAAATCGTAAATGTAAGGAAAATAAATTCTAGAGCTTTTTCTGTACATCGTGCTTCTCTCTCATTCATTAAATTTAGTTGTAAATGATGCTGTTAAAGTAACGGTTAACTTTTTCACATTATACAAGAATTGTACACGTTTTTTTTTTCTACATNGCGACTGACCTTTCTTTTTAGGCTACTGGCCGCTAGCTATCCTCATCTACATTTTACCAGCGCTTATTCCGTTGTAGATAAAAGCCGAATCCCAAGAAGGTATGATAAAAAAGAGAAGACGTCCGAATATCACCAGTTCCTGTTTTTAAAAATATGTATATTTTTAATTGGATATTTTTTGTTTTTTAAAAGACTGTTTGGCGGCTAGTAGCCCAAAAAGAATGGTCAGTCACCAAAAGTGTAAAGTCTGGAACACAAAGTTAATAAATGGTGGTTCCTATATTTTTTTGGAAAGGACTTTGTCTTCAAAAGAATTGTTCTCTACTTTTTAAATCTTAAAACAATTCACTTAGTCAAATAGTTCTCTACCAGTGGCTAATGATTGCGATCAGAGACGGTCCTGCAGTGTATGCATACACGCGGGCTGCCAAATCCCGAGGGTGCCGATACCGGTCAATGGCAAATGCCTGTTAGTCGCATCATTAGTATACCTCAAAGAACGCGGCAGGGTTGTTGTAAATTTTAAACGTTTCTCGCCATAGCTGTAAAAATCTAAATATGTCAAACTTAATAGATTGTCCGTCGTTTGTTTTCTAACAAATTCGTTTAAGGACCAAGTGTCCTCAGAAATTTCCAAAATTTACAACTTTTCGGTCACTGTCATTGAACTGGAAAAATTTCTGACCTTATTACATTAATAATACGAAGAAATCAGTCTCCACTGTACTCGGCTACAGATGGTTCGGTTAAGCTTTTGTTTAAGTAAAATTTTGGCTCTCAGCAGGGTTTTGTTTATGTCCCCAATTCCCTAATCGCTTAATTATTTAACTACTTCTTAACTAGAAATAAGTCGAAACCGGTTACTTTGTTCTCGAATATTTGTAGTCACGGGAAAAAGTGGAAAGACAAATTTTTATGACAAACGGATACATAAATCGTAAATTTAAGGAAAATAAATTCTAGAGCTTTCTCTGTACCTTGTGCATCTCTCTCATTTATTAAATTTAGCTGTAAATGACGCTGTCAAAGTAACAGTTAATTTTTTAACATTACTGTATACAAGAATTGAACACGTTTTTTTTCTACATCCCCTTAAAGATGGGACATACGAAATCGTAATATCACTGGTTCAACATTAAAATCCGTAAGTAATATAAAATCGGAGAGCGGAATAAAAATATCAAATATTTTAATGGATTTTTCAAAACTCCTGTCAACTATACAGAACTATCATAAAAACATACCAGTAAATTCTTATCGGTTGGGTTAAGTTATAAATCTACTCGTTATTCACGTAATCGGGCGAGGGCGGCCAAATATCTAGCGGGAATAGAATTCCGGTCCCGGATAGAATTGGATGCGGTATATGTGTAGCATCAATCCAAGGTCCTAGGCTTCCACCGGCTAAACGGGTGAGGTTGGTGCTCTGTAAAGCGCATACGCGAATCTGGCTTTTTGGATGCTGACGATACAGCGCTTCCACTCCGCCACTAATATTCGAATATACAATAACAATCTTATCTTTTTTCTCACGAGTAGTATAGAAATTTGTAATAAGATACATAATGCGATTATAATAAAATATTGTGCGATTATTTTCATATAATTAAAATTAATATGTATTTATTTTTTAGAAAATACAAGGGAAGCGGCGCATCCACCGCTTCCAATGACGGCACGCCACTGATCTAAGAAAATGACCATCAGCTGTTTCTATAGTTCTTATTACTGAATAAGCAGGAGAGTCATTAGATAATAGAGTGGAAGTAAATGTTTTATGTTTTTTCTCGTAAAATCGATTGATATATCACAAAAAAGAATAAATGCTAATATTACCAACTCCAAAAAGAAAAATGTGAGTTATAGTAGACAATGCACGTGTTAATGGCGTTAGATAATTTGTTGTATCAAAGATGCTATAAAACAGTGGCACTTAGGCGTTTATCTTAAGTAATAAACACAGCGTAGAAGTTAATATAATTAACTGTAAATACCAACGATATTTTTTACCAATCATACTAACCATGTATAAATTTTTTCTACTCGTTTTAAGGGTAACTGGTTTCTATTCAGGCGTTACAGACGTAGAAAAAAGTCAGAAAATTTCACGTGGCCATCCTGTCCTGGTGTAAGTTCGCCGACTTCCAGGGGGCATCGTTAACATACGAAACAAAGTCTGACTGTGTAGTAAACATAACTGAATGTGTACTTGTTCCTGATGGTGGTTGGGATGGAGTTTGTGGCTGTTAAAATCTATACTCCGAGAGACTTGTGGGTGCTCGTTAGGCGACCGAAGAGCCGGACTTATAGAATGGCCTAATCGCGCGCGGGGAAAGAATGCCTTCCGGTAGGACTTTTTAAGGGAAACTGGCCCCTATTCAGGCGTCATCGACAAAACCCGGAAAACTCCATGCTGCCAACTCGTCCAAGCGAGGCGGTAGAAACATAATACATGACACGACACTCATTGCCGTGAATACAGAAGAGCGTAGGCGATCACACAGGATGGTATGCCGAATTATTGAGAACAGGATTAGTCAAGTTCCACAATACGTCTGTTTCCACTTTCTCTATAGAATCAATCCATATACCATTTTTATAATTATGTGATTTAAGTTTATTAAAATACACAACTTGATGGATTTTTCGTCTGAACTTAACTTAATCTCTTGTAAAACATAACAAAATTATAAATAAATTGTACATAGAGCTTTGCAATAAAAGCCATTTGATTAAGAACGAAACTATTTCAAAAGATAGCAAAACGTTTAAGAAATGAATAATTATCTCTTACAGATGACATCATTTGTTACAGTTCAAACGTGTAAATACATTAAACGTTTTCTGCGGAAAAACATTTATGACACAAAAACAAGTTTTGAGCAGCCTTTCTCTTTTCTTTTCGTGAACAGCAACACATTAGACAAGCCAACATCTTATACCACGCCATCTATTTTTCGTCGCATTTCTGAATAATACGAGGTTCCTGATGACGTATGAATAAGATTGGCAAACGATTTGTCTGGTTGGCTTGGGTGGCGTACAGAAAGAGAAATTCGGCAATGTTCCATTTGTAATTTTGGCCCCCTTCCGATAGTAAAAAATTTGCTTTTCTGTTCAGGAAACGTTTCATGTGTCCCTGCCTGAAGATACCTCGACGTTTTTCTGCATGGAAAAGTGTTACGCAGGAAGAATGAATGTTGAACAGTAGCGATCGTTATTTTCAGATCAAATGTTTCTTTTTAATAATTCTAATTTCTTATGTAACTTATTATATCGATTATCCAGATTTATATTTACCTTAACCACTGCTATTTTCAAGATATGTTGTTGATTTTCAAAATCTGTTGATAAAAACATTATTAACATTAACTTATATAACAATATAACCAGAAGAAATTTCATAATGTTGAATGTATAAAGTTCATACTAAGTTATAAAGTTTAATGTGTATGTTACGGATGACCATTTTGAAGCTATAAAAGCACAAATATTTTATATTTTACACAAATACAAGCAGTAATTGTAGTATTCCTTCATACTCACAAAATTACATTTTTCATCAACACTATTTACGTTTGATACAAATTGGCAGGACATATAAAATTTTATGTAATATATAATCTAGCGTTTACGGTAACGGAATTGNATAGCGATCTTATCTTTTTTTTCACGTGTAGTATAGCAATTTGTAATAAGATACATAATGCGGTTATAGTAAAATATTGTGCGATTATTTTCATATAATTAAAATTAATATGTATTTATTTTTTAGAAAATACAAAGGAAGCGGCGCATCCACCGCTTCCAATAACGGCACGCCACTGGAGGGTCGTACCCGTCCCCCCGAATCTCGGGGGATTTCTTCCGTGTTGTAAGCGGGATTAGTACTCGAAAATACCTGTCGCCCTGCTGGAGCCCTCGCAGGGCACATTTAGAGGTAAAGTACGAAAAGGAAACCGAGCTTTACTCCACAGAAGTCCACAGATAAACAAACTTCGGAGTGAACAACGTGCACTAATAGGAGCCGTCTAACTTTTCAGCTCTAGAAATTTTTCCAATATAGCGTCGTTCCCAACCGTCGTATTTTTTTTATTTTTTCCCCCGTCTAATAAGAGCTCGACTCGCTTACTGGGGAGCTGTACATCTTAATTTATAAATGTTTATCATAACAATTATATTAAGTTGTAAATTTATTATCTTTAAGACAGACATTAAAAAAAATGCAGTTTGGATGGTTTAAATGTGATTTGTATGTGCAAAGACAAATCTGATATCTTTCCGTGACGTGGCGTTGTCGTCGAATTTGCCGTACGTTTGACGTCGGTGTTTTGAGTTGTTTACATGAATATAGTAAAAAATGGCATCGGGAGATATAAATAATTTTACAACAGTAGAACAATTTCTCGCAGGTATTAAAGAGCATCCTTGTTTATATGATACAAAAAGACTAGATTATAGAGATATGACTTGTAAACAGAATGCATGGGAAGAAGTAAGAATAAAATCTGGATTAGCTACAGGTATGCAACCCCGTTTTTGTTGCACAATATGCTACTTGTTTTTTTTATTGATTGATTTTTTGGCAGTTGTTTCTGTATAGAAGTTGAAAAAAAAAAAGTGTTTAAAAACCCATTAACCAATAAGCGAGCGCATTATGAAATCTTTTGAGTGATTAGAACAACCAATAAAAACGAAGATTACTGTCGGAAATTAATCGATGTGTCAAAATTTCGCACCACATTTGAAAGTAAATATTTCGTAAAAATCAAAAAATCGAACAAAATAATTAATAATACTATGAAATAACATATAATGTTTTATAATTATTGACATTGAAAACAATCTGGAACGAATTTCAATGACGTTTATTTATTTAGATCTTGAACATAGATGGACGGTTGCTTTAAAGTACAGTACATCTGTTTACATAGTAATTGTTTACAACGAAGTTAAAAATTCTTATCTTATATGATACACTATTTGATTCTGGAGGAGAATAATGTACAATATTTTTGAATGATGCAAGAATATTGAAGGAGCCATTGTAATGATTTATTAAATATATATACAGTGATACCTTGGTTTTTGTTGATAATCCATCCGAAAACAATCTGCAAAATCCAAAACCAACAAAAACCAAGAAAATTATTTCCATATGAATCAATGTAAATCCAATTAATTTGTTCTAGACCAAGGGTGGCCAACATGAGGCCCGCGGAGCTTGGTCAAATGAACGTAAATGTTAACTTTATTGTACATATCACCAAATGAACATTAGAAGAGTTAAGAAGGTTTTGAAGAATTCTATGAAATGTATTTGGACAAGGATAAATATCCTGCGTTTTACAAACATGCTCTGTCGATGGTTTTGCTATTTAGAAACACTTACGCGTGTGAACAACTTTTTAGTCGCATGAAGTACATCAAATCACAAGTGAGAACACGAATTACTGATGTTCATTTGGAAAACTGTTTGCGTGTAGCGACAACATTAGTCGAGATCAATTTTGATGCACTTAGTTCTGTAAAACAAAGTNATGTATTTATGTGTCTGTGTAGGCTATGTCTATATGTCTATTTTGTTTTTATCTCAATATATATCAGAATGGGAAAGAGATTAAAAAACGAAATTTGGCATATTAACCTGTGTGTAAGGATGTTATTATATTTTGGTTGTTAAACATTTAGGAAGAGGGGAGATAGAGGGGGATGTCATGTGTCTTATATGGTGTAAAGTGGGATTTAATATATATTTTAAATCATATTTTTTTTTGTAAGAATTATATTTAGTTTATTATTTTATTACATTTTTTTCCAATAGATTTCGTTACATGTAAAGTCAGCAATCAAATGTAGACAGAAATTAATCGATGTATGAAACCCAATTGATAATTTGGAGTTTGATGTACGAAATGATCTAACTTAGAAGCACTTCGTAGCAATTGGACGAACGAATTGTATAAGGAACAAACAAACAAACTTCCTCATTTATGTATATAGATAAAATCTCATTGCAGACGATGCCACAAACAAGCTTTGATTTAAATAATTACAAGCAAAAATTAAATAAAAATACACATCTATTAAATTTGGATTTGTCCTAGAAAACTTTTACAAAGAGAAGCGATGCGTAAAGCTACATAACTTTTGAGAAATGGAGTCTAATAAAAGAGCACTTTGCAAATTTTCCTGGTGAAGTCGCGAGAATTATGCAACAAGCTGCTAAATTTCTTCGTAAGCAGAAAGTTTTATGCAAAATGTTCAATAAAAATGTTCAATAAAATAAGGTTTAATCAGTTATAAAGAGATTTCTAAAAGGGAAATAAGATCAAGTAAAATAGAAATACAGACATTCAACTACAAATAGCTTCTTAGCATAATTGCATGCTGTAATTCACTTTAATGCTAATAAAGCAGTTTAATCAAAAATGGATATGACCATAACGTAATGATAGAAGATACTGTAGCAAATAATTTAAAATAAATATTTTACTTATGTTTTCGTTTTGTAAATATGAAGTATTTCATTTTATTTTAATACTAGCAGACCCCGCCACGCGTTGTTGTGGTTCAAATGTATCTATTATAAATGTTTAACACTTCCCCCGTGGGGGGAATTTTTCGAAAAATCCCTTCTTAGTGTACATTCTCATATTGTACATTAGTGTAGTGACATACGCTATTAAAACGCAATCAAAAACGCAAAAAAACCGCATCTAAAATAGTATAATGGAAGCCAAGTTCTTTATGGTAAGCCTTAATCCTGTCTCTCTCCCACGCGGGGGGAATATCGACATGTATATTATATAAAAACACTTGCGTATTCGAGTGCAGCGTTGTGTCAAAATTTCAAAGGAATCGGTAGGAACAAACGAACAGTACATTTTTTATTTATATAGATAGATAGAAGATGATCTGCTTTAGTTCATTTTCACAGAAAATCATAATGCCTCACAGAAAAGCAAATTTAGAGCGTCGTACTCGTAGCGCCATCTGTTGGACATAAAAGCCTTAACCTAGATTATATCTTTTAATTTATATAAATGTTTAACGGAATAATATACAGCCTATGTCCACCCTGAAATTCCATTCTAAATATCGATGAAAGAATTTTTGAAATCGGATGAGTAGTTTCGGAGATTACTCGCTACATTCAAACTTACTTACAAACATTACCTCTTTATAATATTAGTATAGATTTCGTTTCCAATTTACATTTTCTAAAATGTTCGCCGTGTTCCGCTAAATTAAACGAAGTAATTTGGCTTCGTGTCTTTCCATGTATTATGTAAACTTAATTTTTGCTATTTTTATACATGTAATACAATATATTAAATCTAGCAACTTATTAGTAATATATATATACAGTATATAGTAATATATCATTGAACTAGAATTATAAAATTATACGTGTTATAATTACCAATATTTACCAAAGTACAATATTATTCGATAAAATATTGGAAAGTTTGCAGAAATCGTCTTAAGTGATTATGGCAGACTTTAACCTTCATTACCGAAAAGTGAGACAAACAATAAAAAGAGTCATTTTCCACAGGATTTCTCTGAATGATAAAGAATTTTCCCGTTCGATATGTAAATATCATGTATGGTATATTAAGTTTTGTTTACTTCCGCTGTCTCTATAGGAATGAAATATAATTTCTAATAATAAAACGAGGAATTATATGTTGCGACTTCATCACAATGCAGAACTGCAATTCGCCACCTCAGGTTAATAGTGGCTCGCTCCTGTACGTAATTCTTTCCAGTTAACAATTGAGTCGTTCCATCGTCTAATTAACCCCTTTTAGGAGAAATGTTTGAATTGAAATAACGTCACATCCGGGTTGCATCGGAAGTTCTTATATAGCTAATCTGAACCTCCTATATCTAATCTTTACATACGTACTGCCAGCTTTCATATATCTAACTCTATTCTCCAGATTGAGGAAGCACGGACAGAGGGTTATAGGTCTACGGTTTTTTCAAATTGCAGCCCAATTATTCCGTTTACTCAGAAGCGATTCTTTCGAACCCATAAACTAAATAAACGATATTTCAAGAGCTACCGAACACATTTCTTTCTGAAATTAAACACAATGGAGTTAATTTTTGTTTCCGGACTTTTGTCTGCGAAATAAATGACGCCTCAAAATTCTATACACGTACACAGAAACACTCCCTAACCAGATTCTTTACTGGAAAATTAATAATAAAATACTGTATTGTTTTACGTGGAAAATACATCTATTCCCGGTAATTGTCATTCGAATCGAATTTTTTGATAAACATAAAGGCTGTTTTTGGCCTTTACGTTTACGGAACATGCAAATATACTTCATATTGTTTCCTATATCTTTTTAATATACATTGATTTCGTCTTGAATGAATACACAAAAGTAGGACACACGTATTAATTCCTTTAATATTGTTTTCGTTTAGTATATCGTGACTGTAAATAATTACAAATGAAATTACGCGAATAACAATTTTTAGTACTCTTCAATTTAGTAAATTATTATAGTAATTACTATTTATCTAAACTAGCGGAAAATAAGAGGGATTATTATAGATATTTATTCTTATTTGAACAATTACGATAATAGAGGGCATCGATTTTCTTTCGTTTTAAANGCTAAATAAATTGTAAATTTTCTAAAATAAAAATTAAAAAAAAAGGACTAAAATCTAATTCTGAAGTTTAATTATGAATCACTCTTATTAAAATTAATTAATATAGCAGTAAATTTAATCTAGCACTTTTTAAACACTACATAATTCATATTTTAGTAATGAAATTACTTATGCATCTCGTACCTATTGTAATAGGAATAAGATGCATAAGTGTTTTTATGTAGGACATATGCTGTTGAAGTCATTTTTTTCAGAGATCTGCTATTATACAGGGTGTTCCACAAGGAAAATGGCAATATGTTTACAGTGTTTTTCTAAAGGCCTAGGGGATTCAAAATTGTCTTATAAACACAACCCTTCAAATGTATTGTTTCAGTGCTAGGATTTAAAGTTCAGACTAGTGATCTCCTTGAGATGCTGCTCTGCAGCACTGATAAACATCGCAGAAAAGCCTTAATCTCTCTGCCCTTCAGCTTCTGTGCCATATCAAAGTGCAAAAGAAATGCAAGCAAGACTTACATTTTTGTAAAAATATAAGGTTTTGAATGGCAGCAAGATTGAGGCTATCCTGTAGCACAATGCTGTAGAACAGCATTTTAAAGAGCAGCTAGTCTGAACTTTTGATCTTTCTAATACTGGAACAATACATTGTAAGGGCTGTGTTTATAAAGACAGTTTTGAATCCCCTAGGGCTTTAGAAAAACACTGTAAACATATTGCCATTTTCTCATACATCCCATTGTATAACCAATAAGACTTCAAAACAAACCTGGAATTGTAGGCAAAGAAAATAAAAAGGCTCTATAAAAAGAAGTTTCTAACACTGAACAAAAAGGTTCCACAGTTCCTGTTCCAGTCACAGAAGTAGATAAAAGATAAAAAA